GGACCATGTTATATTTGGTGGAGTCTGTTAGAGGTTTATGGCGCCTAGGGTCCTGGTGACGGGTTTCGATGTAGAAAGGTGGCGCTAACTTTGCACTTGCGTGCCCAGCACTTCTAGCCATGGTAAGGGCTTCTTAGGTGGGTCTGAGCTCGAACTTTGCTTTTGAAACGTGGTTCAAATAGCATCAAAGATTGAGCAAGCAACGATCTGTAGAGCCAACTCTAGCGATCTACAAACCGGAATGATTGATGTTCTCGGTTTTACTTTGGTCGCCTTTGCGAACGGGTGTGCATCACCTTCTCCTCCCCACTCCCTCCCGCACCTCGCACTGGCTTTGCCTGGTGTGCCTTAGCTACTGCGAAAAAAAAAATGAAACGAGATTCCCCATGTTACGAAGTGGAACTAATCTATGATGCCCTATAATCGATCAAGTTTTGAGACATGTTATTTATTGTTGGAATATAGCGATGTTCAGCTTATTGTGAACAGAGTGCCCTTTTGAAAATGTGGAACACGTGTATTATATGTTCTCCTGGTTTCCTACGAACTCACCCGATTACGTTGTTAAAATGCTTGTTAAAATGCTAATTTTTGGGTTATCTGAACCCGTGAATTTTTTTTCACCGCAAAGCCCTAAATCCATTATTTCAGGGTTCAATTTTCATTATCGCAGACACCACCTATGGCACCTATCCAGCATTCGTTTTCACCGATTCTTCAGAGCTTCCCCAAAGAGTGAGTGTTTTCTTCCACTGATTCCCTTCTTTGTCTCCTTATTTTCGTTTTTTTGCTATTATTGTTTTTTTTTTAATTTTTGGGGCCGCGTCCGATGAAACATAGGAAAGGAGGTAGTTTCATCGCATGTTCGACCGGGAAGACGATGTTGGCATTAATTCTCTGCAATTTTCGGCTCAACGTTAAAATTGTTTCCTGATGCGGCCCGAGAACGTCGTCGATGGTTCACTTCTGGCAACGACGAATGGCTTCTAGTTCCGCGTTGTATTCTTCGTAAAGGCTGTAGGTCTGGCTTAGGCCCATCGGAATGATGTCATCGTTACTGCTATTAGAGTCGGAGTAACGGTCGTCAACCTGCTATCAGTCGCCGTATCTCCTTATGGAATCAACTGCAAGTGTCAGCATTGACTCCTTCCTTTCTTTCTTTCCAGTCTTCTTTGTTCTTCACAATCTCTCCTCCCAAATCCGTCTATTACCTTCTAGTCTTTTTAGTACTCTAGCCAACAGTTTAAATATTTAAGCTATTTACTTATAGTTTATGTCAATAGTGGTTCCATTGTGTACCCAGCTAATCAGTTTAGCAAAATATTAAGCGAAAACAAAATAGGCAAAATAATTTAGCAATAAAAGCTACGATTGTGTCCTTTCCTAAAGATGGAACGTTCAGCGTTATAATCAGGACGATTTTTGGATGCGCCATGCATTTTGCAATTCGGTAGGGCCTTTACAATGACCTGCAATTGCTAGCCGATTGGAGACGGAAGTTTTGATCCTCTGGGACAGTTTTCGTGGTAGCTAAATATCCCGAAATGAGGGAATGGTGGGCCCAGAAATTGAAATTTCTCCCAAGAGAGCCAACAATTTCAAACCTCCAAGCACCTGCGAAGTACAAGATCTGTTAGAAGTTTTTCACCTCTTAGGGCGATCCGGGGTGGACTTTCTGAGCGCAAAATTATTTATTTTTATATATCTTTGCACTCATTGGTGCCCAAGGCAACAACAGAGGATTAGCTCTGAAAGAATGATCGAGAAACAAAAAACGAAGCAGAAACAAAATATCTCTAAAGCCCAACTCGAAATGTTCCGTTAGCCAGTGGCTCTTTACTATTATTTCTTCCTGTTTTGTGAGAGCGAAGATTCGTTGAAGAGTGCTCAGCCTGAAGAAGTCGAATTGAAGCCTGTGTCGAAGACAGTTCTCGAGCGGAAATTGTATGAATAAGCATCGTGGGAAAGTTGCTGTTATTTTATCGCTGCGCTGATAAAGCCTCTTTCGATGGCAATTGATCGTTGGGTATTCAGGCCGAAAATGATATTTGTCTGAAAACCGTTGTGTACAGCATAAATCAATATTTTTGCCAGTGCTTTTTGGAATAATGATAGTTTCAATAAAGGCCGATGGCTCATAAGCAATTGCTTCCCTCTTCAGCACTGCCCCTAGTCAGTGTTCTTCCTAGAAGGCTAGGTTCTGCTGGGCGATAGTTCTGCGAAAAGCTGCCTGGAACTAATCAGCCCACTTCTATTTTTGTCACTTATCACAACTTGATGTCTGTCATATCTCGTTCTATTTTGGCCTTTGGTACCCTTAACTGGCCATAATGGCACACTTCGACCGCTTTTACAAACTTAGCTAGCACATTTAGAGTTATAAAGTTTCACAACTCACCATTTCCTATGCATATCATTCTAGGGTTATTAGCCGACCATAAGGCTTGTTTGAAAAAATATCAAAAACTTTTTGGTTATCAATTTTTATAGAAAAATTAAACGCATCAACCTGATCACTTGTAAACAAGGTCAACCGTCCGTTGTTCCAATTCCAAAAAATTCTACGATCCCCTTCCTAGAGGAAGTTCCGATCGACCCTTCCCACATCCTCCACCACCTCCTTTACCATCATGGCTGTTTCTGTGTATTTGATTTTGAAGAAATCTTTTTCCTTCACGATGGTAGCCGAGCGAGGGGACAGGTTGTGGAGTAGGGAGGTAAACTGGTCTAGTGGAGCGGCAAATCCTCCAATTTAACAACTTCTGCGATTCTCTCGAAATTTCAGGCAAAAAAAATCCAAAAGCTACCCTACCGCCACCACGACCCTTTCACTTTCCACAGATACGACCCCCACTTTTTACTTTGATCTTCATCACCCCACATAGGACCCCCCCCCCTTCGTTGAGAACTGCGCAACGCACGGACTGCTTTGAAGTTCTGGCCATAGTAATGGAACGAAAACGAATGAGAATGAAAACGTCAGCGCAATGAGTTCAAAAACCATTTTTTTGGCGACGGGTAGCCCTCAAGCTGAATTGCTATTTTTGCGATATCAGTTTTGATATTTATCCCTAGAAAAATCGACTTTCGATCAATAATGCCGGTGATGTGGTGATGTTACAGTCGCTTTGCTTGAACGGTTTTCTCTACCAGCTTCCATTATTCAGAAATGATTGTACAGTGACGCAGAGCGCAATGTATCGATTCATCTGAACGGGAACTAACCCCGTGATTTCAATTTTGGAGAATTTTTGGTGTTTTCCTGGACAGAACAAGAAATTTCGTGAAGTGAGGCTCTCGTGGATCTAAATTACATAAACAAAATAAAATTATCTGAAAGCTAGGATTTAAAATATAAATATGAAAAGTGGTAGATGCACTAACTGGTAACTGTAGAGGTTCTGTGTCTTGGTCAGGAGCAGAAATGATGACGCTAGATTCTGTGCAAGCGTTTAGCCCTCCAAAGGCGTTAAATTGCTTGAAAAGCGTCCTACCTTTACCCTACGACCTCACAGGAAATCAAAAACCACAGAGGTCGAGAAAAAGGCAACAATGGTGATCAGCCATGGTCAGGTTTGAGACTATGCAGCGACCACTTTTCTATGTATAGCTCCTTTAACTGCCACGGCCTTGATGTTCTGTACCAGAGTACTTTGTTCTGTGCCATGGCAGGCTCTTCCCAGGGCTTAGGCTGGTGTGAGAGTCTGCGATCTGTCGCGCGATTCGCGCGATTCTTGCG